CGGCGCTCGGCTGGGGGCTCGGGGGTCAGCGCTTTTTTTGCTGCTTGGGGCAGCAAAAAAGCTAGATCCGGCCCTGCTCAGACACCAATTATGACAGCACTGTGCAATATAGGCGACTCTATTCAGCCAGTGTCTTTAAAAAAACACATCATCTCTAAAACAAAGAGATCAGAAACCAGCAGCTGTTACCTACCTGGGATATTAACGTGTCACATGCGGAAGATAAACCAACCCCCACAGAGATGCCAGTAACATTTATAACCTGGAAATAGTCATAATGATAAAACAACAGTGAAAAAACATGAAAGTGCAATTTCAGACGGTCACAGGTTTCATCTAGGGCTGGGTTTGAAAGGCAAAGGCGATGTCAAAGGTCCCCCTCTATCCCAGGCTGCTACCAGCCCTTCAGCTATCAACCCACCACTCCAACTACCTAGTTACTGTTTGATAAGAGACGTTTAGTATACATGAGCTGGCATGAAAGGATACAACCTATGTAAAGACTCAGAACTAAAATACTTACAGCAACAGCAAGTGAGACGGAGGCCAACTCAACCTTCCCCAGATGGCCACAGAATATAGAGCTTACAATGTGTATCATAAAGACCAGCAACTGGATCAAGGTCTAGAAAGGGTGGAGGGGGGAGGAAAAACAGAGATCATGGTGACTGCAGGCTGCAGAGTCCAGGGCGGGAATACACTGAGAGGCTCCCTGAGGACACACTCTTCCTGTACTGTACAAAAGAGAGAGGGCGGGATTGTCCCCATTCAAATGGTTTAACGAATAATGTTAGAATATTTAAAAAAAAAAAAACCCAACCCCCAGATTAAGCTGGTTTTAGGTTTATCCACCAGCCATTGGAAATTCTCTGCAAGACTTGGCGATGCAATGAGTCTCCGTCACCAACTCGTTTCCTCGCGGTTCTAGCCGGTCCCTGGTCAGCTCAGGGTTAATCACTCCACTTGACACTCCACGAGGGCTGGTGACATCAGACGCCAGCAGCTCTCGGTGTTTTGGCGAAATCGGCCAGACTCTGATCTCGGCTACATCTGGGTAAGCCTGGAGTAATGCTGCCAAGCCCAGATTGGAACGGGTGCGACGGAGCCGCATTTCGACACCCCAGGCCCAATTTACACCAGAAATCTCTCACATTTGGTAATATCTGATCGGCTCCACTGGTGGGAAGAGTCTTAGTCTAGATGGGACCCAAGCCGCTGCCACCATTTTAAATGCTGAAACTAGCCCTGCTCCATTCCCTTTGGGTCACAGCATCTCCTCAACCACCCCAGCGCAGCCTCCGGCTTGCCTCCTGCTCTATCGTGCGCAAGACACCTGCCCCAAGGCACACGCCAAGAAGCCTTCAGCAGTGCAGCCCGGGGAAGGCTGTGCCTGCACCCATGGATCTCTCGCTCCTTCCAGGAACAGGGGCTTTCCTGCTAGTGTCTGTGATGTCTCGTTCCTTTCCTTCTCCGAGTGAGCACCATCCACCCGTGTCCCCAGTGCTGAGGGCTTCAACAGTGCCGCACTGTACCCAATCCTACGGTTCCTCCCTCCCTTTCCTCTCTCACCCATTCCTCCTTTGCTGATTATTCCACAGGAAGCGGCAAGTGGTCATTTCAGCATGCAGCAAAGGGGAGGGTCAGGACCAGGGGATGAACTGAACCATGGCTCTGAGCCTTGCAATAAGAGGGGGCCTGGACTTTCTAGGAGAACCAGTGGACGAAGGGTGAGTGCTGAGCTGAGCTGGTCTGGCCAGCTTGCCTGCCTGCTAAGGGAGGAAGATCCAGGATGGGGCAGGAAGGACGACGAGAGTCAAACCCCCAAATGCCACTTAAAACCTACAAAAGCAGCAAAGTGTCCTGTGGCACCTTATAGACTAACAGATGTATTGGAGCATGAGCTTTCGTGGGTGACTACCCACTTCTTCGGATGCATGTAGGTATTCTATAAGGTGCCACAGGACTCTTTGCGGCTTTTACAGTTCAGACTAACACGGCTCCCCTCTGATACTTAAAACCTACAGGAGCTCATCCCCTGGAAGTCTGGAATCCATCCAGCAGCCCCTTTCCCCCACCCTCCAGCAAGCAGGATTCAAACCCATGTGACTCGGGGCTCTGCTGATCCAACTTGAGGGGACCCGCCTGCACCAATTCACTGGGCAAACGCAAACCCGGCTATCTCTATCCCTCCCTCGCCTCACCAATGGCCCCGACAGCACCAGCAGCTTCTTCGCCTCTTCCCAGAAGTTGAATGGGATCAGCTGGCGAATCCAGCAGCTGCTCTTCTGCCCGCAGCCGGAGGATGGCGCAGGCGGGACGATGCTCCTGGCATCTCTGAAGGGGTTCTCATCAGCGGGGCCCGCGAGCTCCATGCTGCCGCTGCTCCAGGGAATAACTAACCCTCTTTTCCTGCCCCGTTGGTTAAACCCGTTCGATTCACCTGACCCGAGCAGGCGACCGTTACGTAACCGCAGCAGAGTGCACTTCAGTCATGGCTGAGCGAGCATGCCCCTATCCGCCACCCCCTCTTGTTGGCACAGCCTGAGAACAGGTGATGAGTAAAGTCCCTGGACACACGGAGGAGGAGCAGGAGAGGACAGCCTCTAGCAGAGTCGGATACTGTTCTAGGGATGCTTGGTTCTGCCTCCACGCAGGGGGTGGCCTAGATGACCTCTCGAGGTCCCTTCCAGCCCTGCACATCTATGAGTCTATGGCAGGGTGGCCTGGACAGCCCTGATGGGGGCAGCTGGAGACAGCAACCTCTGGGGATGGGGAATTCCTGCAGCCAGACTGCCTTGCAATGTTGTCTTGCATGCTAATCAAGGCTGGTACCGGCCCATAATTGAATGGGAGGTCTAAGGACAGAAGAAGTGCTGCAAAAAGTGTCATGGCTGAGCCGGAAGGTGGCATTCCTCTTTCTGAGTCAGTACTCAAGTAAAGCTCCTTAATAAACCCATGGCACTTAGCACGGGTGTCCTGGCCATGGGCTGTGTGCTGGATGCAGTGGGGATATGTGGGCTGAGGAAGGAAGGTGGGATTTGTCCCCTGTGGATTTCACGTTGCTGCCTGAGGCCTTGTCTGCACTGGCAATGGTTTGCATGGCAGCCGTGCCAGCTGCCCTTGAGGTCTCAGTATGATAAGCGCTGTACAAACACGGTGAGAGAGAGTCCCTGCCAGAGCACTTATCACCAGGAACAAGCTGGAAAGGGAGTGGGAGGTGAAGTGACTTCAGATCAGTGTCAGGGCCAGGAACAGAACCCAGGTTTCTGACTAACAGTGGAGCCAGACTGCTGCACAGGCATAGCCAGGACTCTGGGTTTGGTTTTTTTTTTTTTACCACCACGCCATCTAGATCTGTGCAGAATAGAATTAGAGGGGCCGGGGGTAACAATGCTGGAGTCCTGTCTACACTGCAGCTTCCACTGGTACTGAACTGTGTCACGGGTAAGCAGCGTAGCCAGTGCAATTTACACATCCTCTGGTGCCACTGAGAGAAGGCACACGCTTTCTGCCATGCTGTTGCTGCTAGGGTCTGACTCCATTGCAATCAGTGACAAAGCACCCAGTGACTTCAATGGATGCAGGATTAGGCCCTTCAAGAGCTGCCCGCCTATTATTTTGGTTGGCTGAGGCTTTCACCTGATCCCTTCCAGTGACAGTTGTGCTGTCCTCTTTATAGAGTCTCGTGGTTGCTCCCCAAATCACGTGGCTCCTAACTTTGGATTAGTCTATCTGCAGTTAGGACGCAGCCCCACACCGAGATCTCTGCTCCTCTCTAACATTGCTTGATTCAGTTCCAAGCTTGCTCACTCCTGCTGAAGGAAACCGTTGTTGCCTTTTAGCCTAGCTGTGTTAATGAAAAACCAAGGCTGGGGGAAGCAGGTCAGAGGTGATGCTGGTCCTATAGCTTGTAAATCTAGCCTCCCCCCATGTTCAGAGGGTCAGTGCCGGGGATTTCATTCAATGTATAAGCCATTGTACCCTTACACGGCCTTGTTTTGTTCTCTTGCTTTCCCTGCTAGCTGCATTTCTACCTCCGGCATTCACCTGGTGAATTGAACATTAATTTGGCATCTGATTTCTCTCTGCGTGAAAGGTTTTGCCTTCTGGGACTTTCTGCATTCAAACAGACTCAGCCTCTGCCAATTTCTTTCCCCCCGTCCTGTGTTAGGATTGCCCTTTATTTCCTAACATCATTTGTATTCTGGTCATTCTCACAGTGACCTTTGCTACAGGTTACTCCTCCATAGACATTTCTTACTACTCAAGTCTGTGCCAGGTAATGGGAGTCCAACTCCCTGTTCCTGTACTGTGGGGTGAACGACTGCAGTGATGCAAAGCGTCTCAGTGCATGAATCACATGCAAGCAGAATTCTGAGCTGACCCCTGCACTACAGTGCAGAGAGAGGCAGGTATTTCTACTACTGTCCCATCTGTCCCTAGGCTGAACAGGGGGAGATGGAACAGCAGTTAGCGTGTCTGCACCCATCTCCAGGAGGGCTACGTTACTCATTGTAGATAGCTCCGTGGTTTGAGCACTGGCCTGCTAAACTCAGGGTTGTGAGTTCAATCCTTGAGGGGGCTTTTTAGGAATCTGGGGCAAAAATCTGTCTGGGGATTGGTCCTGCTTTGAGCAGGGGGTTGGACTAGATGACCTCCGGAGGTCCCTTCCAACCCTGGTATTCTATGATTCTATTGTTCTGAGTTTAGACTAGATCAAACATTGACCTGGACGAAGAAGCTGGGAGTTCAGATTAGGTGACAGGGTTTTGTGGATCTCGTCTACTCAAGACTTAGTAAAGGATTTCTTAACCAGCCGTCACTGTAGTTCATCAAACCCTCACACTCACTAGAGGGAGCCAGAGAAGAATCCCAGCACGGCATCACACACATGGACCCGGTTGCAACCATGTGCCACTTCTGTAGTAAGCCAGCTAAGCAACGGTAGCCAAGGGCAGTTCAAGACATATTGCTAACACGTGCGCATGGCTCAGTAATGTGGATGCAGCGGCTTAAGGGGAGAGATGTTGGTTTCAGGATGAGCCAGTTTGTTGGAATGGGACTCAGTCTAACGAACTGGAGACCGTTGTATTCGTTTCAATACCAGTTAGCGATGATAGAGCAGGTTGTGCTGCGTGCGTCGCTCTGGCTTGAAAATCCAGAAGAAAAGTGGGTTGCTAGTAATGTGTCCATTGGAGTGCATAGCACCAAATGCATAGTTACGAGATCCAGCCATACATTTTCCTGATGATACTTTTCTTGGATCATGCTGGGGTGACTAGAAACTAGTAACATCAGGACAATCTGGAAGCAACCCCTGAAATCAATGAAACAACCTGAATGTTTATGCATAAAAATGTACTGTATCAAAATGCTGGATTCCAAAAGTGTGAAAGAAGATTTCTTTACGCAACATGCCTGGTGAACGCTAGAGAATGCCACACAAAGTGCGTGTGTCAGTTTGCTCCAGCCATTGCTGGGTGATTCTATAAACGCTTTCCAACAAAGGAACACTTACCCTCCGTTTGCTTTGTGTTGCATTATAGGAGAGTCCCAGATCAAGTTCTGAAATGTAAAAAGTGCTCTAGTATAACATGGGAGGCACACGGCACATTCAGGGAAAACTCTGTATTTTGACCAAGCAGTGGAACATAAAAGACATGAACAAATACTTCTCAGGCTCAGGAAACAGTGAACCATTGGTAACGTTTGAGCGTCTCCGTCAGTGCATCAGTACCCATTCTCTGCAAGTGTTGTACAATTTGTCCATCAGCCACGTTGGGGACTTGCCCTACTGGCTCCGTCATACTGCTGTAGAAGGGATCAGCAAACATCCCTATTCAGTATAATTCGTGCAATGAATGCATGAGTGCTGGGCCCTCACCCAACCTGTTAAAACAGGAACAATCAGGGGTCCTAAACAGAACACTCGGACTTCACCATAATGCCAAGAGAAGTGGTCCTTGACGTGCTAGCAGAATGGATGAGCATCCTGTTTCACCCCAGCATCACCCTTCTTAGAGCACCCGACCATGGCCTCGTGCCGAAGTCCACTAATCCCAGTCTTCACATTGCTGCGCCTAGCCATTACCGGTCAGGAGCCGGACTACAACCCCCACTAGCAGGACTGCAATGGCCACAGCCAGAGCTAGCCCGCGACGGCAGATCAGCTCCTTCCCCGACAAGACGTTCTCTCCTGGAGAGATGGAGCCTGGTGCAGAGTCCTCCTGCCGGATGAGCTGGCGATCTGGCTGGCTCTCGCTCCTGGAGACAGGATCAGGCAAAACCACCACATTCTGGATGGCCGTTTCAACTGTGAAATACTCTGTGTGGCAGATAAATTAGGTTACACGTGGGAGGTTGGAACAGGCAGGGTCTGAGCTGGAAAACAAGCTGCAGAGCTTGAAAGCCAGTGGTTCCCAGCCACTCGCCCCATGGCTGGGACAGGCACTGGTGACAGATCATCCTAACCCTCCTTTCCTTACCTGGATGAGCCTGGCCTTCGTTTGTCTGCTTTGAGAGAGAGCGGTGTTAGGAGCAGCAGCCGTTGGAGCGCTACTCCAGATGAGGCCATGCAAAACTGAATGGGAAGCAGTGGGCGAGGGCTGGCTGACATAAGAGGTCTGATTCAGTCCCAGCTGGCATAGGTGGGAGCCACGCTCGGGATCAGGCCCTCTGTATGCCAGGCTAGGTCCCATCCCTGCCAAAGGCTAGAGCTGCAGCTCTCAATCTCTGTCTTCCCGCCAGGCGAAGGGCCTTGTTAGGCACTGCCTGGAGACCACCACTTAGGGTGGGAGGGACATGTGTGAGCAAGACCACGCTCACACACAGAGGTATTGCTGCTAGTCTGCTACGAGACCATGAAGCTCGGATATCAGTGGGGCCCTGCCCTGCCCCGTTCCAGGGGAAAACCCACCCCCATGCACAGGGTCCATCCCCAATCTGCTGCACTGCTCAAGCTCCCACAGTCCACCCGCTGAATAGCATCGGGCCACAGGGTACGTTACTTTGGCACTTAACCCCACACGTGCCTTATGCAAAACCGGGCTCTTCCTGGCTGTGCAGAGGGGCTGGCTCCATGGAACGTGGCAATAGAAGGCCCAGAGCCTCTCTGTATTACAGGCATTACTGGCACGTCCTGTTGGCATTAGCTCAGGGGGCATCAGAGAACTGCAGCCCCCTCCCCAAGTCCCAGCCTACAGCAACGTACCTGAATCGCCTGTTTCATCAGCTCCAGCAAGACTGGAGGACACTGCTACCGGCTGCTCTTTGAGCCCTGCTCGGATTTGAGCCTAAGATAATAAAAAGAGCGAGGTCAGAATCGCCATGGACCCTGTACAGACAACAGTGCAACCAGCCAGGGACACACGGCAGGATGAACATACCACCA